CTGGGAGAGATTACAGAAATGGGGAGGGGTGTAGGGTCTGGGAGAGAGTACAGAAATGGGGAGGTGTGTAGGGTCTGGGAGAGATTACAGAGATGGGGAGGGGTGGCGGGTCTGGGAGAGATTACAGAAATGGGGAGGGGTGGAGGGTCTGGGAGAGATTACAGAAATGGGGAGGGGAGGAGGGTCTGGCAGAGAGTACAGAGATGGGAAGAGCTGGGTACCAAAGAGGGAGAGGTGAGGAAGGGGCAATGGGCAAATGTGAAAGTGAGTGAGGGGAGGAGTTTGGTTGAGAGGGAGAATCCTATCAGAGAGGGAGGCAGGGGAGAGAGAGAGAAGGCGAAGGGCTAGGAATACGAGACGGATAGAGGATGCAGTTTTAGGAAGTCAAATCTCAGACAGAAGGAAAGCAAAGTTTGCGGGGGGAGGGAGCGGCTTACTCACAGTGAGATTTAACGATGCAGTTCCAACACTGAGTTCCTCAACTCTCGGTGTGGCATACTGTTCCTGAGAACCAAACTGCAAACATTTCCAGCACTGTATGTGTGTGTGAGTGTGTGTGTGTGGGTGTGTGGTGATGCTGGTCTGAACCACTGAGAGTGTAAAGGATATTCTCCCCTTTCTTAAGACAAACAGTAATGCTCTGCTGAAATCCTCAGCTGCAGACTCTCCCAGGCCTGAGCCCTGAAGCAGTGTACTGTTCAGGGAGAGATCAATCCCTTTTGCTCACTCCATTCGACGAGGGACAGCCTCGTAATCCTACTGTTTACACCTCTCCTTCCCAAACAATTTGGAAGCCTCGTCCCTGCAGAAAGCCCCTCCTCTCCCTCTCATTTCCATCCCCGATCACCCCTTTCTCCTCCGTCCTGCCCCTTTCTCTCTCCTCACTCTTGAGCACTGTGGGTTTGGCTGGAATCGCTGCATAAACACAATCCCGTTTAGAAGCAGCTTTTCTGTGCGGCAACATTTCCTGCTGAAACTCAGCTGCAACGTTCTGAAGTTAGCGGCTCTGACACAGAGCAGTGCCGATTGTTTTATTGGCAGGGTCCACTGGTCACCTACTGTGGACCTTTCAGCCCCTGGGAAAATCCCCGCTACACTGTCCGACTGTGCAGTGACTCCCAGTGTGATAGAGAGACAGGAACTGTACACAGTGACTCCCAGTGTGATACAGAACTGAAACTGTACACAGTGACTCCCAGTGCGATACAGAGACTGGAACTGTACATAGTGTCTCCCAGTTTGATAGAGACAGGAACTGTGCACGGTGACACCCAGTGTGATACAGAG